AGACTAAAATATTGATATATGTATATTGAAAATTCAGAAATGTAGATCTCAAGTTTTCTATATGTGTATAAAACTTCATTTGGGCTCACAAGCTTAAGCATAGTACATAAGATCACATGGTTCACCGAGCAAGGCGATAAGATTAGCCCAGACCCAAAAAATAGCGCTCAACAGACCTCTCGGGTACATATAGATAGGTGTATATATATATACATACATATATGTGTGTGTGTGTATACATACATTTAACTACCCTCAGACATTTCGCAATGTGCATGGAATGGAAAGTGAGACGTTCACAAAATTGGTAGACCTGGGAACTTGGGGACAGCCTAGCGATAGAGCTTGATATAGATAAGGAGCTACCGAGACGATAAGCAATACGGTGGGAACACGTAAAATATATACTGCGACAATTTCGCATATACAATATACAAAAATATGCTGAATAAGCGAAAGGTGCAGAAAAAGCTAATCTATATAGATCAGGCAGCGGTCCACATATACAGTGAAAGCTCGCTTGGGTGAACAGCCAAAAGAAAATTAATAGAGGGAAAACAGGGGGAAAATCTCTAAAATTAATTCATAGATAATATTAATGCATGAACAAATTGATATTTTTGAATTATTTTGCATAGGGTATCTTTTCTTAAGAGTAGAGAAAAATGACTATCGCTGTTCGTTAGACGAGCCCTCACTGTACCATATAATTATATATATGTATATTTATATCTATATGCATATATAAATTTAAAATAGAGAACAACTTTTCTAATTTATAATGTTGTTTGTTTGCCTCTCCCTCTCTGTCCGACAGGTTTCTGTCGCATGGTGGACAACAGCACGAGCAACAACTCCTCGGTGCTGGGCCTGCCCAGCAGTGGACATGTGAGCAACGCGGGCAGCTCCACTCTGACCATTGGCAGCCATGCGAATCCCAATAGCGTAGCTGGCGGAGCTGTTGGTGGTGTTGCTTCTATGAGCGGTGCAACCGGAGCAGCAGCAGTAGCTGGTGCTGGTGTGGGCGTAGGCGTGGGCGTGGGCGCAGCTGGTGTGGGCATGACCAGCGATCTGTTGGCCAGCGCTGGTGGGGCACAGGGTGGCGGGGATCGCCTGGACGCGTCCAGTGACAGTGCGGTCAGTTCGATGGGCTCGGAGCGTGTACCCTCGCTCTCGGACGGCGAGTGGGGCGAGGGCAGCGACTCGGCACAGGACTATCACCAGGCCAAATACGGCGGGCCGTACGATTTTAGCTACAACAACAGTAACACACGCCAGCCGCCGGTGGCACAGAAGAAGCATCAGCTATATGGCAAGCGGGATCTGCACAAGCAAACGCCCAGCGCCTTGACTGCTACAGCGCCGCCAGTGGCCGCCACGCCGCAGCCTCAGCAGCATCAGCAGCCGCAGGTGCAGAGCATCAAGTACGAGTACGAGGCGGGCGCGGCGGCGGCGGCCTTCACGGGCATGCAGCGCAGCGGGGGCAGCAGCAGCGTGGGCGAGGCAGCTGCCATGGCGCCCGTTCTGTCCAAGGACTATCATCAGGCGTACGGGATGAGCGCGGCGAGCGCCTTTACAGCTGACTATGGCATGCCACGTGCACCCTTGACGCCACACGGCGTTGTCCAGCTGAATCACACATACGCACTGCCCCAAGGTAACGGAGCACTGCCCCAGGGCAGTGGCTCCCTGAGCAGACCGCATCCGCGCGACAAGAAGCCCGTTGCAGGCAGTAAACATGCCGCGAAGTCGGACAACGGCAGCAGCAATGCCAGCGCCATGGAGGACGAGCATTTGTCGCGGGACGAGAAGCGCGCCCGTGCCCTGAACATACCCATACCCGTGGGCGACATCATCAATCTGCCCATGGACGAGTTCAATGAGCGCCTGTCCAAGTACGATCTGAGCGAGAATCAGCTGTCGCTGATACGCGACATTCGCCGGCGTGGCAAGAACAAGGTTGCGGCACAGAATTGCCGCAAACGCAAACTGGATCAGATACTCACGTTGGAGGATGAGGTCAACACAGTGGTGAAGCGCAAGGCGCATCTGAATCACGAGCGGGAGCAGCTCGAAACCGAACGCAAACGCATTTCCAACAAGTTTTCCATGCTGCATCGTCATGTTTTCCAGGTACGTTTCCAGCACAAGTGCTGCCCCTTGAATCATATAGCTAATCAAATCCTTCGTCTACAGTATCTGCGCGATCCCGAGGGCAATCCCTGCTCGCCGGCTGACTATAGCCTGCAGCAGGCGGCCGATGGCTCCGTCTATTTGCTGCCGCGCGACAAGCCCGACAATGGCGCCGCGGCAACAGCTGCTGCCAGCACGGTGACAGCCGGGGGCAGCAGCCAACAGGCGGCGCTGCATCCCGTGCATCCGGGGCATCATCAGGTGCAGGCGCAGTCGCAGCACGTGCCACTGCAACAGCAGCAGCAGCAGCAACCACAACAACAACAACAGTCGCACCTGCCACCACATTTGCAGCAGCAGGCGCCGCAGCATCATCAGCAGCTTTTGCCACAGCAGCAGCAGCAACAACAACAACAGCAGCAGCAGCAGGCGCCGCATCAGCATCAGCATCACAAGGAATGAAAATATCTGCTGCGTTTTGCCGCAACAACGAGTTGGTTGTCGAACTTTCAGCAGCAGCAACAGCAGCAGCAGCAAATGCAGCGGCAACAGCAGCAGCTTCAGCAAAACTTGCAACAGCAACACTTGCAACAGCAGCAGCAGCAGCAGCAATGTTGCGAGCAGGTGTACGATTACCGTTACGATTTTTATAAAAACAGTTACCTGTACTACTGAGCCGTTGCCGCTCTTCGTCCTCTTCTTCTACTTCTACTTCTGCTTCTTCTGTTGCACGCAACATGTTGCTGGCAACATTTGGTTGCAAGACACGGCGCGGAAAACGCTCGTGCATTTAACTGCAGCGGGATTTACCGTTTTTCCTTTCATTTCCCCCCTCCCACCCTTCCTTCTCGCTAACTTAGTCAAAATGTTTGTTATTTATTTTTAAATTCTTTTAAATTGCCTTTTCTTCAACATTTTCTTTATATATATACATAGTTTATATATATTTTCTTATACATTGAAAACAATCCATAGCGCATGGTACGAAAATTTATACCTTACTTGTGATAAATAATTTGTGAATTTTGCATGAATATGTTTTGAAGCTGCAGCAACAATTAACTTAAAACTTTTACTGAAAAATCCACATCAAGAAAAAACCCACTAAAAATCCTCAGTCACACACACACACACACACACACATGCATACAAACACCTCTATCAACGCGTCGTCCAAAAGAAACATGATGCTAAAAAAACCATTTACATTTTAAATATTAGATTATACAAAAAAAAAAAAAAAAAAAAAAAAAGATGAGCACATGTATAAATAGCTGTTAGGTAAAAGTTTTGTAAAGGTTTTGAAACAAAAAAAAAAAGAATAAAATAATTAAAAATATTGCTGGACATTTCAGACTCGTTCGTAAGAAGCCTAGTTTAAAGTACACAAACAAACACACAGATACACACGCACACAAACACTCACACACACGCAAAGTAAACCTTAAGAGAATTACAACAATTAGCGTATTATTTACTAATACTTTAAGACTAGCTCATAAACAAAACTGTAAATACATATTAATTAATATAGTTTAAATATTCTAATTCATTTTAATAATCCACTCGATGCGCTAGGCGAGAGCTAAATGTAAATTTATCTACCAGTTAAAATACGAACGTAACAAAAAGAGTTTAAAAGTGAAAGAAAACAAAAAAAAATCGAAAGAAAAACAAAAAGAAATATTAATATTTAATATTCTTTAAAATGTCCTATTGCATAAAAACAAGAACGTATTTATATAACTGTACGCAGAGATCAGATACAAAAGTAAAACGGTAAAACTATTGTTAAATACATATAGCTAATATATGTACACGCATACATAGATGCCTACATCTAAATTGTTGCAATTAATTTCGTGCATCTCAAAACAATTATCGCAAAATGTAAAACTAAAAACAAATTAAAAAAAAGAAAGAAAAACATGTGCGCAAAATAAAAAAAAAAACACAAAAAAACGCGAAATTATTTGTTTGTAAATTGTAATAAATAATTAAATACTATGTCTATAAATATTTACACACACATACGTAATGAAATACATTTACATATTATATTAACATATACATTTATAGTAAAAGTACTTATGTTCTGAATATTTCAAGCATTTCTTCCTGAGTTTTCAATGCGTCCAACTTTTTAGAAACGGATCGCCGGATGCCAGTTGATGAAATGAAGACTATCCAGCTCCATCTGAGGAATTAAATCGTTATATTATTATCTGATATCCATAACAACAGTTTATTGACTAAGCTGAGTAATTTTTATTAACAGATTGACGGATATATTTTAAGTCCAAACATTAAATATATCTAGTACTCACTTGTATGATTGTGTCTATATCTGTGCATGTAGATTTTATGTGAAAAGCTTGTATGCTTCAGAAAATATACAAACATTTCCCAAAAACAAATAAAAACTGAATAAAAAGAAAGAAACTTACAAAAATAATATAAACACCATAGTTTGATAATCTTTATCTATAAAATTCATATTTACGGGTATTCAGAGATTCTACAACTTTTTCATCTATAACTTTTTATAAACCAGTTTGTTCTGACTGACGAACTGACTGAATGAATGACTGACTGACTAAATTTTCACTGCACGCTAAGTAAGACAGGGCTTTGCGAAAATCAATTCAAGATATTTTGAATGAATCTTAGCAAGCAAATAATAATCTTTGCCCTGCAATAGGCTATACTTTAAAAATATATTTGGTAGCCTAAAAGTATGCTAGCATTTTCGGTACAAAACAAAATAACTAAAGGCGTTCTTTTCGAATGGAACACAATTACGAAATATACATTTGGGTCTGGGCTAAAATGCAAATAAAGCGAGGTATTCTTGTGTATATAATTCATTCAGGTATATTTTCGGTCTTTTAATTTTTACAATCTTTGTGACACTTAATATGTAGGTAAAATACATCAATTAACATTCACATATGCTCATTCCATTTATTGTCCACACAGTATTTAATAACAATTCAAAGCTCAATCTGCATTTTTTTTGTTGGAATATGTATACATATATATTAAGTTAATAATTGAGTAATTGAGATATTGAACAATTATCGTTTAAGGTAGCTTTACAATTCATATAACATGTTGTTTTGCACTATATCATTGTTGTGAGGATAAGTGTATAGGGTATATACGCTCATACGAGGAAGTTGCAGCATTTTGGTTTCATTATATCGTTCATGGTATTTGTTTATAATATCAATTTGAGGCTTATTTATATAGTAAATTCATTAAAAACTAACACTAACGCAGAAAGTACACTAAAATCAATCAATTGTTTACAAAATACAAGCCAGAGACGGTTCATGGATCTGCATCTGGTATCTGAATGGGCACGCGGCTTCTGGGATTCTTAAGGATGTCACAGCTAACAGAGCCGCCTTTGCGTGGCCTCTGCTTAAACTAACTATCTAGATGTATAGTCTAATTAGAGTTCTAGGAGCCTACACTTAGAATACAACATCAGTTTGGGTTCACTTTGCTCGGTTTGAATATCAGCAGATGGAATCGATGGGCAGCTGATCCTGCTTGATGCTCAGTCGTCGCGGATTCGATTGCTTGGCGCGGGCGCTGCCATTGCCAGGCGTAGCGGGAGCAGCTGGAGCAGCGGATGGAGCAATGGTGTTCAGCGTGCTGAGACTGTTGCTGTTGCTGTAGTTGCTGCTGTTTATGGAATTACCGGAGTTGGTTCTCTCATTAATACTTGTTAGGTTGGGTATGCTCGGCGCTGTCGTCGTTATGGATATATTGTGGCCGCCCATTGTGAACAAGGCGCCATGCTTGCCATGGCCGTGGCCGTGGCTCTGGCTGTGGCTGTGGTGGTTGTTGTTGTTATTGTTGTTGTTGTTCAGCGGCTCCAGTTCGCTGGCCAGGACGCCGTTCGGTATGGAATGCGAGCGTATTTGCAAACGGCCCGAGTCCAAAGACTCATCGCTGGCCGGATCCAGATGGTCCACAGAAGCGGCCGAGGCAATGCGCTGAAACATGCTGGCCGCAGAGAGCGTGCGATCCGCAAAAGGCACTGAAATTATTATAAATGCAATGATGATAAATATGCTGGCTGTGGGCAATCCAAGGATGCACTTACCTATGCCGCTTTTGGCACTGCGCGTGCACTCGGACTTGAGCTCGTCCAGCTGTTTGGCGCTGCACAGGGGTGTGTCCACGTCGTAGGTGTTGTTGAACAGCGTATAGTCGACCTCATACTCGCCGGTCTCCTTGCGGAAGGACACCACATTGACGAAGCGATGGCCCCACAGTATCTCTGAGGGCAGATAGCTGCTGCGCGCCTGCGTGGTCATGCCCGTGGACTCAATGACGCCCTCTGTAAGGCAAAGATTAGTCCCAGACTCAAGTGTAGCTGTTGTTAAGCCAACTTACCCAGCATGACGACCACCTCGAAGCGCTCCTTGAGCATATCCGAGGCGGAGAGCATGTAGAGCGGACTGTTCCGATCGATCTTGTGCACAATGGTCGTCGGCCAGATGAACATCAGCCGATCCTCGCCGCCATCGGCGCCCACATGCAGCTCCTGCTGATAGAAGGGCAGCACCTCGCCCTCCTTGGTCACCTTCTTGCGTATGACCTGGGCACGCACGTGCGCCTCTATTATATGGGATTTGCGCATGTCGCCCACGCGGAACATCAGACATGGCGTTCCATCCCTGTGACAGATGACCGCATTCCTAGAGAAGAGCAGCGTCTGGGCGCGTTTCTTGGGACGCGACAGCTTGGCAAACACAATGCCCACCATGAAGGCCTGTATGAAGACGCCCGTGATGCACTGGATGCACATGGTGAATATCGCCTCCGGGCACTCCTCGGTCACATAGCGATTGCCATAGCCGATGGTCGTTTGTGTCTCCACAGAGTAGAGAAAGGCCGTCATTATGCCCTTCACCTCCGTCACGCAGACCGTGTGCGTCATATTGACGATCAGCTCCGGCTGCGTATTGCGCAGATGTATGTACTCCAGATCGTTGTGGGCAAAGGCAATCGTCCACCAGATGAACCCGAAGAACGCCCACGAGATGACAAAGCTGGCCGCAAACACCAGCAGCGTCCAGCGCCACTGTGCGTCCACGAGTGTGGTGAAGATGTCCTGAAAGGAGCGAGAGCAAGCGGGTTGTTCAATATCGAACCGGTTCAAGTCTTAAATTCCAAATGCAAAATAAATCAGTGAGTCGGCGTGAACCAAACCACAGATTATGTTCTTCTTCTTCAATGGCAGCCAAGGTTAACAAGAGCTTCCCTTGGGTTAGACAATTGAAGCGATGCGCAGCTAAATTTAAATCAGCCGCATTTGCATAACTCGCATATGTTTCTAAATCAATGCGTGTGAGTGGGTGTGGGTGGGTGTGAGTGGGGTAAATGTGGCTGCTCACCTGCAGATAGCGGCGACGTCTCTTGGCCACGTTGCCTTGCACCACATTGCACTCGCCATGCTTGAAGACAACACGTTTACGCACGCGTCGCGAGCTGAAACGCGTCTGCCGATACCTATGTGAAAGGAAGAGAGCAAGAGGAAGTCCAGTTATTTAAGAGAGCAGATTCATATAGATGTGTCTGTATGTGTGTGTGTGTGCGTGTGCGTCTCTAAAGAGGACCCTTTCTGTGTTGGGATTTTATATAATTTAATTTCCCCTCTTGAGCGAGGTGATTATAAATATTGGTATATTTAAGAGGGAGGAATGGGCACATTACTTGACTACCCTCAACAAATCCAAGCACAGTGGGTATTCGATAATTTAATTCTCGCGAATTTAAAATCATTTTAAAATTTACAAGGACATTTAGCATTCCCATTTTCTATTTTCGTTTTTAAACATATTTGAATAAAAACTATTTTAGTTATATAATAATTTTCAATAAAATATGTTATTTGTTTTGCATAAACGAGTTTGAAAGTCTTCAAATTCTTTTCGCAAACAAAAATAATCTGTGCAAGCGAGCGTCTACTGTATTCATAGATGTAATTGTTTTGTGGCACCTAGGCTAGGTTTGTTGGGCTATTTATGAACTCTTATCACCAGAACTGATAGCCTATATATGTACATATATATATATATACAGCGTACACTTGGTCTATCTCTTTGAAATTTCTATTCACATCTGTTGTCGTCTTTGTCAATTTGATATTTGTCACAGTTTGTAGCCGAACAGTTCGTTGAAACACGTGATTAAATATGTAGATAACAATTTCCCCATTTTTTGGGAAGTTAATTTAAATTCCGTTTACAGAATTTTCCGCATTTTAAAATTACATAATAGAAAAAAAACACATATTAATTGGATAGTTAAGCTACACATATTAAAGTACCTAATTGAGAGATAAATACTTAAAGTAACAGAAGATTTTCCATTGCCATTGTGATTGATAAATCGTGGCAAAAACAGGAAGTGCATATTCGTGCATATCTACATTATATATGTATGTCTATAGAGATATGCACGAGCACAATATAAATATTTTATTTTTAAACAACAAAAGACGCACTGTCCGAGAGGTTCAAGAGCTCTAATAGCTATCCAGACAGCATTTAAGTTCTTGTTTAATATTTTATGCACTATAACTAAACCAATTACCAGATCAGAGTCTGCGCTAAAACGCTGCCCACGCACAGGACAAACACAAAGCCAATAAGGATGTGCATTAAGAGTAAGTTGATAATTTGGTCAAAAATTAAAGTCAAAATAAATACTATATAGAATGCACTCAGATGGTTGTTAAACAAATAAAATGCTAAATATTATATTTCGGCGATCCTGCCGCTACGTCCTCAATAAGCTGAGCCCATGCAGAAATTCACATGTGCTTTCTGCCGGAGCTTTCTGTCGGAAGCTTTCACACAATCACGGATCAACAGTCAAATTTGCACTGTGAGACGGATTTGATATGCAGGCCGTTTGCAGTTGCGCTCAGCCATTGTTGCTGTAATCGCAGAATTTAACTGTAAACTGAAACGCTACTTACATGCAAAGCAACAACAACAGCAGCATCCGCAGCAGCAGCAACAGCAGCTGATATTTGTTGTTCTTGTTGCAGCTCTTTCTCCCATTGCATTGCAATTTCACGCTTTATCTGCGCTGTTCGCTTCATTCTGCCTACTTATGCAAAAGTCCCCACATGGGGACCACGCAATTAAAGCTCATAAATGCCCTCTTGAGCTTAAACTCAAAGCTCGGAACGCAAAGGGCGCGCTCACGAGCGCATTTGTAATGTGAAGCAGACAACAAAGCAAGTGGAAAACTGATCAATGGACTCGATAGTTGGATTTTACAGTTCTAGCTTAACACTTGCGCTCTTATAATAAAGAGAATTGGAAGAGTAGCTCTGTTAAGCACCTGTCTCCTCTCCCTCTTCTGCTGCACGCTCCCAACTGAGTGATTATTTATTTATTTATGCTGATGTCAACTCCGAACGTTGACAAAGCGCTTGCCGTGCGTTGATCCAACGTTTGAGCTGTGCAAAAATTCGTAGAAATTGCCATCGAACTGGACAATAACATTCATTAGTTTGAGCTTTCGAAATTTGTGTTTGTTTTCTAAGTAATCGCATGCAAATAAACCGGGTTTTAAAGCGTTGTTATACCCTGTACATAAGGCATGATTAGGAAGGGTATATAGAGATGTACGTATGCCTGAATCAGGCAGAAAACAAAAACTAAGGGACCATGTAGTATAGTGTGGCGAGTTCAAATAATATAAATCTGTCTATCTGAGCATTAAATAGTATTTAGATTTTGACACGTTTACTCTGCTCCATCAAAATTATACGTTAATTAAATTCTTGGTTATATCTTCTACCTCAATGCGATGCTCATTATATCAAGTAAAAGGGATTTTTCAGTTTTATCAGCGATCTTTCTTACTCTCTCTCTTACTCTGCCTTTCTGTTACTCTCTCTTTCTCTACCTCTGTCTTTCTCTTACTCTCTCTTTCTTTCTCTTACTCTATCTCTTACATGTTCTTGCATTCTCTTAATTCTTAACACTGTTTCACTTGCGCTCTGCCCTCACAGCCTGCCCCTTTTGTCTCCATTTATCGCCCTTCTATGTGATTTTCAAAACTTCAAGTGAGGCTTTTAAATACTGATGCAACTCGTTTAAGAGTTTTTAAAGTTTAAGCATATACTAATGTGGCTCGCGTGTTTTAGAGGGTGTTTGTAGGTGCATATAATTAAACACTAACATATGTACATATATTAGCGTAATGGGGAACTGAATACAGGGTACAACTTAGTTGGACATTCTCGACTAGAGCAGTCTGGTTTTTATTTTGTGAACTGCAGCTTTGCATTACTTATGGACAGATGACTAAACTGGCAAAGGCAGTTTCTGCCGTAGATCTTAACGTGGTTGCCAAAGGCGGGTAGACAAGTTCAATGGAATTGCACTGAGTCATTCGGATAGGTTTTGAATAATATGAAAAAAAGATCAGCTGAAATGCTACAAAGTTTTTAATGACAAAGATCAAGAACGAACTTGAAAAAATTTATTAATTAGTTATAAATTCAATAATAAAAGTTCTAGGAATATGCAAACTTCTTGTTTGTAAACATCGCATGAAACTGAGCTCCGTTCCTAAACTTTATGACATGGATCTATATAATCTAGCGCCTCGACGCTTCAGTCAGATAAGCAAATGTCTCGAGATAAAAACAATAATAAAAGTCAAACCTGACCTTAGACATTGCGATAGCTATGGCTAATCAGTAGAGGTTTTTCACTCAAATGCACTTCTCGAGCAGTTCTTGGCCCATTGCCAAACATTCTATAATCGCAATGCAACCAAAGAGCAGGGTCTGTAAAAAGTTAGCTATAACTATATAAAGTTGACCGAGGTCGGAAAAGGCAATTGACGTCATTTGGGCAAATGCCTTTCAGTTTATATAAAGCAGGCGAAGTCTTCAAACAATTTGTGTGTATTATTTGAATTGAACCCATTGAAATCCGTAATTCCGAGGCATAATTGACTATGAAACTAAATAGGGTTTACAAATCTGCTGAACTAAAAAATGATATATAACAGAAACTGAACTTAAGGTAGGGACATTTGTTCGACCAACTTTAATTTGCACGATCTATACATATAGATATTATATATCTATATCTATCTATCTGTAGTATATACTTAGCACATAAATCACGTCGGAAAGGGCAAAAACAACAACACAAGACATTTATCTTAAATTTAAATATGATTTTCGTTTTTGTGCAAGTGCAGTGCCAAAATTGAAATGCCAAAAGTCATATGCACAATTGCATTTACAGTCCACAGATATGAATATATTATATATATATATATATTCATATATATTTGTGGGTATATCTATATCTATATCTATATCTATATCTATATCTATATCTATATCTATATCTATATCTATATCTATATCTATATCTATATCTATATCTATATCTATATCTATATCTATATCTATATCTATATCTATATCTATATCTATATCTATATCTATATCTATATCTATATCTATATCTATATCTATATCTATATCTATATCTATATCTATATCTATATCTATATCTATATCTATATCTATATCTATATCTATATCTATATCTATATCTATATCTATATCTATATCTATATCTTTATCTATATCTATATCTATATCTATATCTATATCTATATCTATACTAACTATCGATAGAGTTGTCAAATGCCAATGCTACCCTTGGACATTGAACCACGTGTGCGCTGTGTAAACAAATTTGTTTAAACGTTGTTTCCATTTGTATAGCAAAGCAGATGTTTCAGTCTATATGTTATATAGATCATACTTATACATATGCATTCTTTATATAAATATATGTGCCTTTATATTTATAGCTATGCTTTAAACAATTGCCAGCGGCAATAAACAGCGCCTGGAAAAGCGTTGCATGCAAATATTTGTGGCAGCATTTAATTAAAGAGTTGTTTTCCCTTTAATGAAATGTACACACATTGATCTCTATAAACATATAGACATACTAACTAGCTTAAACAGCGCACAGCTGCGCGCTTGTTTAAATAAAGTATTAAATACATATATACTCAAGTACTGCTGGCTGCTAAAAGAATCCGAAGTCATCGATAAACGATTCTGAAGTATCGATGCACAGTGAAGACTTCGCGATTGGACAGTTTTTTTAAAAATCATTTCAAAAGCGAAGTTAAAAAGATTATACTTCAAAGAATTTAAACATAAATTTAATTTAGACAACTTCAAACAATCTTCAAAATATCGCATATTTAAAAATTACAAACATTCTTTTCGTTTATAACCAACATTCTTATTTGAAAATATTTCTATCTATGAATACATTTTCAAGTTCAAGTTCTTAACCACGCTCTTTAGCATAAAAGCTGTTCGCTCAAGGCAGCATTCACTGTAGTCACACATTACCTCAACAGCTCCTCGCGCCAGGACTGTTCGCTGGAATGCGTTGCCCGATAAACAATCATCGATAGACGACTGAAACTGCGTCTCAGCT